ATATTTTATTAGGAATCTAATTAGAATCCTAATATTTTATTAGGAACCTATAATTAGAATCCTAGTATTTTAATAGGATTCTAATTAAATTCTGAATAAAATATTAGGAATCTAATTAGGTTCTTAATAAAATATTAGGATTCTAATGAAGCTGCTAGCAAAATATTAGGATTCTAATTTGAGTCCTAATAAAATAGTAGGATTTTAATTAAGCTGCTAATAAAATACTAGGAATCTAATCAGAATCCTATTTTTTTTACAGCTTAATTAGAATCCGAATATTCTATTAGGAATCTTTTTTTTATTATGAATTTAATTAGAATCCGATTGAAAGCTCAGGGCGTTTCAGCTTCATGGTGTCATGTTGTACATAATATAGCGGTGTCGTGGCTAGCGGTTAGCGGCTAGTGGCTCGCAGCAAGCGGCTACAGCGGGTATGGTTACAGCTACAGCAGCTATGGCCAATTCTTCAATCATCATAACTTCAATCTTTGATGCCTTCGGGGATAAGACGTCTTAGATCAGAATTATAGAGTGCTTCCAAAGCCTTCAACGTCGCCTCTGAAAACCCGGCTCCCTAGGTATCCCCTGCGCATGCCATGATCTGGTCGCGTGTGCGTGTGAGCCTGCGGTTGTGTGTGGGCATGCAGTAGCACGTACATTTACATTCAAATCCGCATGTCTTGGGTCCGTGCCTGTGTGTGCACTTGTATAATGTAAGTCTGTGGGCACACTTAGACTCGCTAGACACCCCTGAGTCTGTCGATATCTATGAAGTCTATGAAGTACACATGTGAGCACTCGGCCCGTCCTGGCCACGTGTCTCCGAGGACAGCTTGGCCAAGTGGGCCGCGTAGTCGGCCCCACATTCCGGCAGCAGCACATCGAAGATCTCGAGAGGCCCATTTGCACACTGCTTCTGGCCAATGTCCTGCGAACAACAACACAATCCAGGAACACTCAAATAGCTAGCGAGCCAAACTACAAGCTGTCCGTGCTTGGGCTGCTAACAGAAGAAACGAAGTCTCGGCATTGCAAGCACGTGCCCATGGACATAGTGCGTTCGCAGCTCGCACGACACAACTAGCTAGCAGCCTCTGTGAGTTTGATCAGCAGTTGAGGAATGCACGGAAGCCAGTAGTGTCCTGGCATATCTGCTTGAAACGTAGCACGTCGTTCCTGCTGTAGACGTCCTTCCGCAGGAAGACAACATAGAGCCTGCGTCAGTAAAGTCACTCAACATGGAGTGCACAATGCACTCACCCGCGGGCTGCATGTGAGACAATGGACCACAAGACAACTCAACAATACTGGTCCCTGCAGTCCTACAATACAACAGAACGCATGCTGCATGACTCTCTTTCTCAAGCCACCCGGAGGAACACGCACACGATCTGAAGCAAATGTCTCTCGACGGGGTCACTGCGGCTTTGCCGTCAGGTCACCTTAGGAGGCTCTGCATCCTCCCCAGCTTCCGAAGCCCTTTCATACTCCAACAGAACATTGGAGTTTGGAACTTGCATGAACCATTCTCTGACCTCCTTTCGTTTCTCGTGGCCTGCTACCTTGCTGCCGACATGAGCCTCTTGCGTGTCATACTCCTCAGCTGCAGCAAGCCAGGACAGCAAATTCCCCAGAGGTCTGCCGCTGCCCGCCCTTTTGCCAGCAGTGGCTTGCCGTTGTCGCCGGCAAAACTCCCCGTGTCGGGGACAGAATGCTGTAAAGAACATCCCTTTGAGATTGTACCTGATCTCCCCGCCAATGGGATCCGGAATGAGCATCTGAAGCTGTGTCTCTCGCTGCGCACGCCCCGCACGTGCGATCGGCCTCTCAGCAGGTGGCGCAGGAGCCGCCTCAGGGGCGGGTGCGATCGGCCTCTCAGCAGGTGGCGCAGGAGCCGCCTCAGGGGCGGGTGCCGCAGGAATCGCGGCGTCTGCGCCCGGAGCATCTGCGTCTGCATCGTTGTCTGCGTTCTCCGCAAACGCCAGCAAGGCAGCAACAGCATCCGGCACAGGCTCCGCTGCTGGGAGCAACTCATCAGGAATATGCACCTCATGCTCCGACTGGGACGCGTCGGATCTGACATCTGCATCTGGGCCCCGAAACGCATTTGCAGCACCGAGCAAAGCCTCAACCGCTTCATCCTGGGAATTCGTTGATGCTGCTGGGGACCCGTCGCTGAGCAGCGAGAGGTTGTCTTCCTCATCGCCATCTTCGCCCGGCTCGTCATCTGCAGCGTCCCCACCCATGTCGTCTAAGATGCCGTGGGACCTGTCTGCTTGCGCCGGCGCTGAATCCTGCGCGACGTGGCGAGTAGTAGGTCGCCATAATTATGTGTGTGTGTGTATGTGTGTAAGTGCAGGAACAAACTCTGTGATGGTCTATGTCGTAGCCGATGAAACTAAAAACTAAGGTCTTAAGCTTGGGACCGAAGCCTAAACTTAGACTTATAGACTTAGCAGGGTTCAGGCACTCGAGCCTCACCCTTCCAGAAGGCAAGGTCATCCGTGTGCAGGCAGACATCGACGAAGCGAGGCTGCATCTCCCACACGGGCAGTCTCCGTTCATCTTCCAGAATGCTCCAAAACCGCACGGCGCACGGCTTGGACACGTCCACAAACTTTTTCACCAAAGCTTGCATCGTCAGCAAGCCTGCCAGCACCGTCCATGGACTCTCCACAAAGTGTGTGTCCTCCTCGCCGAAAACAAGCTTCATGACGCCATCTTCGTGCTGGCGCTCACAAGGCTGAAGCAGGACTGCTGCAAAAGTCCACGTCGTGTAGTTCGTGTAGCCGGGGAAGAAAAAGACTTCTTGCTCCCCGTCACCAGTCTTCAGAGAGACCACCAAGCGGCCTGCCTCATAGTCCAAGCGAGCAGGACAAGCAACTCCGCGGCGTTTCCACAATGTCTTTCGAAGCAACTGAGTCAGCTTTTTGCAGAACTTCTGGTCCCCAGGTCGGGAACACGAGCACGTCCCAGCCAGACCACATGGCCCCATGCCGGACGCATGCTTCTTTGCTCCAGGTATCTTTGGTTGGTCTTCGTGTCGAAGGCTCCTGTGTTCCAGAGTCCATTGGTTCTGCAGCCACTCACCCATGGAAGTCTGGTTGTCCTCCATCTGGGAGCGTCGGCTCTTGCTGAACGCCAGCGCATCCTGCATAGGACAAACATCAAAGTCATCAAAGCTCGAGCTCTATAAAGAAACGGAGCCCCTAGGCCCTAGGTGGGCAAGGTGGCTTCCTGCCGCTATACACTGAAACTATTAGGAAGACAACGTCCGCTGATTTGACTCTGGCTAGAATGGCTAGGGCAGAATATTCTGTAGATTCAAGCAGATCAAGGACGTTGTCGCGGCGGGCCTTGGCAAAGCGGACAGCGGGTGGAACGAAGCAGTGATGCTGCAACTTGGGCACGGCTGCCGCGTGTGGGCGGGTGCGGACACCCTGCTGAAGGCCAGGTGCTCCACCTTGGTCAAGGGCCTGCTGCAAGACAGTGTCGAGCGGAACGTCGGCAGGGGGAACTGCCGCCCGGGACTTCTCAGCTTTGTGCCCAGCACGAAGTCGGGCCCGCAGCGCTTCAAACTGAGCGCCAAAGTCACTTCCGGGCAGCGCGACGACCAGGTCTGTGTGCCTTTCCAGAACTTCGGCAGGCCTGAGAGCAAGCGGCACTGGGCTGTCCATGAGGCTGAATGGCCGCTTGTTGCCGGCCCTAGCCGCTGCTGTCGCAGCCGCCCCCCGCTCGCAGTAAACCTCGTATTCGTCTTGTGCCAGATCACGATATTCTGCTGCGAGCTGCCGGATCAGCCGGCGCGTAAATTTCTGTCCTCTTGCTTTCTCGGAGCAAAATGCCCGCCAAGCGCCGCCAGGTCTCGAATGTTTTTTCTGCTTGCATTGTTTCGACTTCTGATAAGAGCTCTTGCCTCCAGAGGCGGCTTGCTGCTTTCCGTGGCCGTACCGGCGCCCAGTCCACGCGCAGAGGCGTTTCGCACTCACTTGCGCAAAGTCCGGGGTATGGCCACGGCCTCTGCTCATAGTATATTCGCGTAATGAAGAGTGGGCAGACTCGAGGCCACTGATGTCGAGGTCGATCAATATCGCCAAGCTATGTAGACATGCCAAAGCTTCCGAGGATGCCAGATTCTCTCCGTGCTTCTGCAGAAAAGTTGCAGCGAGGGAATCCCTCATACATGCAGGCCGCTGATTCAGAATCTCATCTGCTTGCGTCGGGTCGACCAGGAGCTTAAAGAGACAGTACGGGAATCCATCAAAACACATGTGCAAGAAGTAGCACACACAAGCCATCAAACTGGCCAGCAGTCGAAACATCGTGGCGCGAGCTCGCCGGGTGTAGGAAGACTTTGCTAGTGCTCTGGGGGCACGCAGCAACATCTCAGACGCTTGTTGAAAGAAGCCCTTCAAGTACTCCCCGGTGGCGGCGTCAACCACCTTGTAGGTGCGCTGCCCTGTCTCAGCCTGCTTTCTTTTCTGCTCAGCTTCCCATTGTGGTCCAGCAACATGGAGCTGGTGGTACAACAACTGCAAGCCCGCCTCCATGACTTGTCGCAGAATCACCAATCTCTCGGCGACATGTGCGGAGGAAGCAAAGGACAAAGCTGCAGATCGGTTCTTCTGGTTCAGCTGTGCCCAGGTGTCTGCATCAACGTTGAGCATGTCAGGAGGAGCTGCTTCTTCAACCGTCCCAGGGTCGCAACCATGCGAGGCATCCACAGAGCCAGCCCCCACATGGTTGACGGGTCCTATGGCAGCAACGCTGTCCCAACAGTTCTCGGCAACGTCTTCGCCCCTGGCAGCCCTTGCACTGTTGACAGGCCTCAGCCCAGCTTGAGGTTTGCCTGTAAACTTGGAGAGCACTCGTGGCCACAACTGCCACACAGCGGAAAGGAGCCCGACGAAATCTACAGGGCGGTCGGCCCCGAGCCACGCTTTTCTTGACAGCAGCCCACATTTCGAGGGGATCAAAGCCCACGACACCAATCCCAAAAACATCTCAAATGTTGTTTCAGGTGATGAACAACATCCGGGCCCACAAAAGTGGATAATGCGAGCCGATTCCAAGTCTGAGTTGCAGAACTGGTTCAACACGAATTGTCTCTGAGCATTGATGCGTGGACTTGCGCCAACTGCTCGCGTCGACACAAAAAGATCAAGCAATTCTTTCCGGTAGGCCGCGACCTGTCCTTCTGGAGGGACATCGAACACGATCTCTAACTCTTCATGAAATATCTGCTGTAGACAGCCGCAGCTTCTGCGCAGAGCCTACTGACTCCAGAGCTAGGCCAGTCTGGACGACTCCAGATATTGTTTTTGCTTCCAAATTGGTTGAGAACTTCAAAGAGGAGGCTGCTTTGTGAACACTGCAACCAATCAGGCCAGTCGTCTGTTCTGGGTTCCGGCGCTGGATCTCACGTTCCGCCACTAGATTAGCCGAATATCTATCGGCGACAGCCAGCCTAACTTGCAGAGGGTGCTTGGCTTGAAAGTGGCGCAATTCAGGCACTTTGCTTTGGACGTCTTGAAGCACGGCTACCTCGTTTTCACCTGTGGTGCGATCTATGCAGTAAAGGTGCGTAGGGACGTCACTTGTCACGAAATGATGCTCCTGGGTCTGTGTGTCCACAGAAAGAAAACCTCGGCAGGAGACAGACTAATTAAGAGAGCCCCAAATCCATAGGGTCTACGGGCCTAAGGGCCTAGCGTATACGCTAGGCACTGGGAAAAGAGCTACGCAAGTAAATCACATCACAGGCCTTCGCTGCGTGGCTAACACGGGGTCACTGGGTCCTTACTGGAGCTACGGTTACGGCACGGTTACGGTTTCTGGCCGTCACTCCTGAAAGCCAAGCAGCCAAGTGTCCATTCCACACAAAAAATTTTTGCGTGTGTGTAGCTGTCCGTGTTTGCTTGATCGCCAATCGCAGTGAGGCGTGAAACTTGCCCGCGCGGTGGATGATGATAAGTCGCCAGTGACGTAGGCTGGTCGCCGCTGGCGCCGACGTCGTGCAGGAAAGACTTCGCATCTCGCACCTTCAACTTCAACGGCGTCTCATCGTATCGCAGCTTGGACACAAACATAAGAGGCTGGAAACGTGGGCGATTGTACTGACTGTACACCTTCAACCAGCATCGGAAGAAAGCTCCTAACAGCCACGTCGTGCTGTAAAGCAGAGCACAAGCGAACTGCACCAATTCGCGTCTCATGCTGGTTTCAGGCACGCCAGTGGCTTGTCTGGCAGCACGGAAGGTCGTGAAGCTTGGCTCGGTCACATAAGTCTGCACTACAGCATCCAAAGATGTCTCGGCTGCCGGCACCACAGCCTCGTTGGCCGGCTCTGCTCCATGCTCGCTATCCACGGCCAAGTCCAGCTCCTGCCTAGCCGGAAGCGCCCGCCGAAACCAGCGAAACAACGCTTGGTGCAACCGTGTCCCAATCTGCTGCAGACTCTTGGGATCCCCATATAAACGGCTGGCTGCACCGGCCGGTCTATCGGCCTCCTCAACCTCCATCTGAGACTCCATCTGTGCTGCATGCTCAGACTGAGGGATTGCAGGCAAGAGAAACGAGTCCCAGGGATCCTCGTTTGCATCAGCAGCAGCAGCATTCAAAGTAGGCTGAGGGTCGTCCGCAGCCAAGGATGTGGGATCATCTGCTGCATCTACAGCGTAGGAACTCAGCAAGTCGTCCCAGTCGCCTACACTTTCATCCTGCATGCTCATACTTTCACTTCGGGCCAGAAGCTAAAATAGTTTGCGGTTGCCAGCTGCAAGCTACGACATCTCGGCTCATGCATATGACAACATGACAGCGGAACAGTACTCAGTAGCTGCAATGCAGAACCAGGACATTGACGTGCTACCGCTTGAACGGCTCCAGTGGACCCTTGACTGCTGAGCTTTAAATTTGCAAACCTTTGAGCACAGGCCTCGGCCGACGGATCTTGATCCAGTTCTCTGCATCCATGTCCATGCGGACCACGTAGTAGCCACCATTCCGAAATCGGACTTCCCCCATTGCATCCAAGAACCTGTGCACATGACTGATGGATGGACTGGGCCGAAAGACACATTCGAGCAGACGTCGTCGACATAGTAGCTAGGGCAGCTAGGGCGGACAAGCTATTGTTTGACCAGAAATGACAGGAAATGGAGGTCAGCAGTGGTCACGGCGGCTAGGGCTAGGGAGAGACATTCGTGCTGTATGAAATCGAAGCAGAACAGAACGACCGAAGAGATGCATAAAGAAACAGGATCAAACTTATCTAGACTCTAGTCTAGACACACAGCGCGAGATATACATCAGATGTAGGCAGACGACAAGGACAAAGATACAGAGAAGCAGACAGACTCGACAGAGTAAGCAAGCAAGCCTCGTCTTGGTGATTCGGGAACATGTTTGCATCACTCGAGCTGTCCTGGTCCAACCCCCCTCAGACACAGGCTGCCCGAAAAGCAGCATCAACCATCGAGTTACGAGTTGCATGAACAAGCTTGAAGCAAAATGGCCTTCTGAAGGGACTCGTGGAATCCGAAGTGCTTGTTCGCTTCCCGAACCCCGCCACTTGCTCTGTGATTCCCACATGAGGCTCATACTTCTGGTAGAAGTCGATGACTAACTGCATGGTCGTGCCGTTCATGCTGTGGCTGGCCACCGAGCCGTCCGAAAAACGTTTGCAGCGCATTACACTGTATGGATTACAAGGCGATCCCGTGACCGCCAAATTGATGGCAGTCTCATCTGATGAGCCTGCCTGCTTGGTGCTGTAACCCTGAAGCATGTCCTCCAAGCTCTCGAACATGTTCTCCACGGTGTGATTGGCTGCTACAATGGATCTGAAATGAGGATTTTTCTCAGCCCCTGCCAAACAGCGGAAAGGAATTCCAAGAGCCTTAGCAGTATCTTGAGCCATGGTTCTACTCTGCTATGGCTGAGTCTGGCCTACTTGTAATGGGATAGGCTTGCTGGGTCTCATTGCTTCCTACACCATGTAGTTGCACTTGCCATGTCTACAGTGTCTACAGTCTAGAGTCTACTTCGGAATGCATGTTTCTACTTCGGAAGTCTAATCAGAATCTTGTTAATATCTAAACTGAAACATTGCAAGCTCTGCACACGAAAAAAACAGCAGTGATCCAATAAGTCTAGGCACTCGCAGTGCTTCGCCTTCGGAGAATATCCCGGTACATGCTGACATCACTGTTTTCACACTCAGAGACTGCTGGTGGCACACATCCATCTCGTGCGTGTGAAGCTTCAAAAGACGTGCCCACCAGCTCGTGACTCTAAAGTTCAAGTTGGCAGGCTTGCTAAGGGGTCCTGATGCAGCAGCATCTGAATCCGACAAGTATTCGGCTGTCACAGAACGTAGGAGGCCCACACTGTGATTTTGGGCCTTGAGCTCCCTCTCATGGCTGTCCAAAGCTAGCCTATCTATGCCTGTGTCCCAGCTATCCCTGCTTGCCAGGGATGCAAGCACATCATCCCAGTCACCGACTGATGACATCGAGCCGACAATGGCTCACATGTGCAGGTAACTTCACCTGATGACCGCCATCGGCACATGCATTTCACACCCATGTGCAACATGCATTATTGCCGCCTGTCCATTCCTAATTTCCTCATAACTTCCATTCTGGTGTATTTAAACGATACCTATCCTTAGGCTATTCGGTTGTCATAATGCTACTGCTACTGCTACTACTACTACTACTACTACTACCACCACCACGACTACTACTACTACTACTACGACGACGACTACTACTACTGCTACTTCTACTGCTGCAATAGCAGAGTAGCAGTGGCAGTGGTCAAACCCTAAACTTTATTGGAAGTGCCGGATGACAAAGAGACAACGCGTGGCAACTCAAAGCCCTAAAAGACAACCTTTAAATCCAAGAACAAGATGACGGATGGTAAACCCAAAACATTCAATAATCCCTGATGGAAAAAGCTCGGTTGCAAACTCTAAACCGTGAAAGCACAAAAGGGAGTTATGGACGGCAATCTCAAGCGCTGCCGAAAAATAACGAATGCCAATAAGAGGGTTAGGAATGGCAATCCAACTGCAAACGGAAATCATGCGTGACAGCCCCCCAACCCCTCAAGTGTTGGATAGCAACCCCTGTTACCTAGGAACTGATGAGCTGGCAACGGTTAACCCCCAGCAGAAATGACAGATTGAAAACCTAAAAAGTGAGAAAACAAAAAAATATTGATGACAAACGCTGAAGCTCAAAGTAAAAGATGGATAGCAAACCTAGAAGCCTAAAAGGAAATTACCTTTTGCATACCCTAAACCTCAAAAACGAGATGGATGGCAACCCCTAATGGACAGCAAGCCTTAAACAATGAGATGATGGATGGCAAACCTTAAGTCCTGGCAAGAGACGATGCATGGCAATCGTCAACCACTCGAGACTGTTGAATTCTTGGCAGAGCACTCTAAGAAACGCTGAACAGAGCACGGAAGGCCTATCAGAAGCCTGCCAATCAATCAATAGCATGCATCCCAGCCCGTAGCTTCCGACCACAACCCTTTCACAACCCTAAACCCGAAACCGACTCCTCTGTGAGCTGACCCGGCGAATGGCCGAAACAACTTGCACGGCTTGGCTCCAGAACGTCGTTCTTCCCCATCGAACTACATTTCAAAAAAGATCTCCGGGGGACAGTTGCTAGACCTCAAGCACGATGCTTCACTTTCTAGACGCAGGGCAAAGTGTGCGCAAGCTCTCACACGGATCAAGATCACGTGGTCCTGGATCTTTCAGCTACACTTTGGCAGGCCATGCCGAGGCACATGTCCAGGGTTTGCCGAGCACACATGAATGCAAGAAAAAGCAGAAGCTGACCTCTTACCTCTCAGATCCCCTCAGCCTCAAGACTTCAGCGATCTTCAGCGATCCTCGGTCCACCCCGTGAGGCCGCGGCCCCGTGCCTCCTGTATCTAGGAACTCTTGACACGACGTAACCACATCAACGCTTTCCCACGAAGTCTCTGAGACAAGCTGGGCAAACCAATGCTAGCATGGCTTTGCAAACTTGATCGCTACGTGCGCCATATTGTGCCATCGTTGTGCCCAGCTTGCTGTCTGCACATCTCTTCGTGGACCTTGCACAGCACAGGCTGCTGTCAATGTCGACCTGCACAGTACATTCCCAGGCTTCCCAGATCGGAGTAGCGCTTGGACTGGCATTCTCTGGAGCCGGCGCAGGACGCCAGCTCCAAGCCGGCATCCCAACACGGAACCCGATCCACTCCAAGAGGACTCCAGGACCCTAGCTTTCACGAAGTCTCCGATAGGAGAATGTCCGGTCCTGCTCTACTCGCACTTACGCCTGGGCTTCACAAAATTCAAATCTGGCACAACGCATATCCGAGAGAATCCATCCTTGGCTTCTTGCTGACATAGGCATAAACACTCAGCAGCTACTGTTCGCTTCTGTTAACTTCTGCTGGTTGTGGTGATTAGGATTCTGCCTGCGGTTGGCCTTTGCCACATTCGGCACGGCGCAGCCGGGTCCAGGCTTTGTGTGCTGCGAAGCTGTGCAGCTGGCGTGTGCCACAGTGCTGGAAACGATGCCGAGGGCCCATGCAAGCAAGGTGCCATAAGAGCTCCCCGCTGTCGAATTAGAGTGCAGGTGCGTGCAGCATCAAAGGTGCACCTCCGCCCTGTGAACTGTCTCTGCTTTGTACATGTCCTCCCAACCGGAGGATTCAGCCTTTAAGCCACTTGGGGTGACCTGTTCAGGCTCAAGAAGCCGCCAGTGTCTCCGTGGCCGAAGGCGAGGTAGGCCCCAAACTCCTGGTGACGCCGAGTCTACATCGTTGCAGATCGAATGTCTGATGTTGCAGTGCTCGCCGAAACGGGAACCGCTATCTGATCAAATGGACGAAATCACTTGCACACTTGAAAGTTGGGGTCAACCCTGAGCGTTTCGCAAGGTACGCTTGACGCCCCACAGCGCACACCTGACACACTTGACCCACTTGACACACTTGAATCCTGCCGCTTGCCACTTGAACGCCAAACCTAATCACTAAACCATACTAAACCCCAAGCACTAAACTCAAAACCCACAGCCCCAGCCCCGAACCCTAAACCCCAAACCCCTAAACCCCGCCTAAACCCTAAACCCCTAAACCCCTAAACCCCCAACCCTCAGCCCTAAACCCTCAACGGACCCCTAAACACACCCCAAACCCTAAACTCTCCACCCAACCCCTAAACCCTAAACCAAGTTAAGTGGTCAAGTGAGCCAAGTGAGGCAAGTGTGCGCTGTGGGGGGTCCAGCGTGGGCAAGTGCGCAAGTGGTTTCGCCACTTGCGAACGCTTAGCGTTATGCAACTTCTCAAGCGTGCAAGTGGTGTCGTCCACTTGCGAACTTTTCGTTATGCGTCTTTGCAAGCGGGCAAGTGTGCACAAGTGTGCGCTTTAACTTAGCGGCTCCCTGTTGAGAGGCGCCTTGGCGATCTGCTCGCCCTGCGAAGTGATCAGGCCTTGGAGCTTATTGTTCAGGCCTCGGCTGCGAGCGTACCGGGCCTAGGGCCTAGGGGGGGCGATCCAGGACACGGCTTCGCTCCGAGGGGCTGTGGATTCTGCTCAGCGACATCCGGAGAAGACCGATGCCCTGCAGGCTTCAGATGGCGGAAGGCCGCGCGAGCACGCTGCACTGTTGCTGATGTCCGAGAGGCTGGTGAAGAATCCACCGAAAAAGAGTCGCGGGCAACCTCGAAACAACTAACAACAGAGTTACCCCTGCTTTCGGCAACAGGGTGTGCCTGGAGCATCTCGATGGCTTCCCTGAGTCTTCCTGAGCAGTGCAAGCATGTCACTGCACAACCCCACTTGCTGGTTGACGTCGCCTTCATCGGTTTCAAGCTTGTGCTGGATCCTCACGATGTCTTCCACAGTGCAGCCTTCTTCGATGCAACCTGCAAGGATTCAAGAGGACTCACTATGGCCAAAAGCCCCGCATGCTAGTTCAGCACTGCACGGCCTGCAGCCTCTTCTTCCACAAAGTGGGTTGCCTGACAGAGTGCTCCGTACTTTAGTTTCTCATGTTTGCCTTTGCCTGCCGGTGCCGGTCCTGCCTCCGGAAGTGGCAAGTGGCGCTCTTCGACTTCCTCTAGAGAGAAGAACTCTCGGGCTGTGCTCTTTGCGTTCAAGTTTCCCAAAACTTTCAGTCGGCCTCTGCCGCCGGGTCTCCTGCCTTGGGACGAGAGCCAGCATGTTGCACATGGCGATTGAAGTTTAATCTGGGTTTAATAATAGCATTGCAGCCGTACGCCAACATGTATTGCAAATGGGAAGACGAAATAAAAGCACCCCAAAGGCCGGAAAAGGGACCGGAATGCAGGCTGGGGGCTGGGGGGACCTGAAACAGACGAGGGGCAGTGGCCTCCCCCCTTCAATCAGGCAACCCGTTTTTGAATCGGTCACATTTCAGCAGTGCGAGAAAAGCTCTGCCTCCTCACCTTAACCGTTGCTTATGGACCCAACGCTTGTTTGACGTATTGCCTCGCTAAGGGTGACTTGGCCTGACTTGGTAATCAAGGGCTGCCAGAGGCTCCTCAGAGCTTTTGTGACAAACAAGACAAACAAGCACAGACAGTGGAAGTATGTTGTCTTCTCCGTCATCCTGCCCCCGAGAACCAAATTTTGCTGTTGAAAGCTACCGAACATGCAAAGCAAAACCCTTCCTTGACCAAGCACTCAGCCACCCAGCTGCATCAAAAAGGGGGCCCGTGTCACTCACACGCAGATTTGCAGGGCTCAACAGTCACTCACCACATCAATCCGCATGCAGAGATAGATTGGGGACGCATACAGAAGCTGGGTTCCACTCGCGGCGAAGAACGCGAATACTTGGCCTTCAGTGGTGCTCCAGTCGATGCTGCAACGAATGAAAACTACACAGCAAATCAACATGCAGTCCAGTTACTGCCGAGGGCCAGAGACGAAGGAAGGACCAGCCAGGAAGCCGAACGCAACCTGAAAAAGTGATACGGGTAGTCGACACCCACGAGCCAGAGTCTCCTTCCCAAATCAATTTATGGCAGAGGTGCAGCCAGCACGACGAGGCCGCGAAGCACGCGTGGAGCCATCGGAACGTCTTTAAAGCCAGGGATCGCACTTGTTGGGGGTCTCTTGAGACGAAGTCTTGCAGGAGTCGAGACATTCCGTTTCAGCATCTTTGCATCAAACAAAACAAAACAAAGATGCAAGAGTGACGCCTCCATGAACTCATGTGGCCGGCACTGCGTCTCCTGAAACGTGGGCTGCCAGCCTTGCGATTCTGGGGTTGTCGCTGCCCCACCGCAAAACCAAAGCACTTCATTGAGCGGGGGCGCCTTCTGAGAGGAGCAAGGCATACATCTCGGCAACATGGTAGAGGACCTGATGCTAGCGACGATTCCTGAAAGCTTGCCACGGCCGCAACGCCTTCGCATGTGCCGGTCGCAGCGTGCCGTCTTTCGTGGCAGCTGACACATAGAACAACCTGGCGACAGCTGGGCACTTGTAGAACTCCGAAAAGTCATTAGCAGCACGAATCTTGCAGACATGCCCCGCAGACAGAGCTGTGAACGGTGATGGCACAACCTCCTCTAGCACCTACCAGTGCAGTCAGCACGCGCTTCGGAGGTACTGCCAGCCATGAATTCCTTGCCTGCTCCACTGTTTGAATCTCCATCCTCGAAGCTTTCCCCGTCGCCGCTGCTGCAATTTCCTGGCCATTTTGAATCGGCTTTTACTTTGTCTGCAACAGTCCAGCATCTTCCAAACACCAAACAGGCCGAAAGGCCAGCTTCTTGTTTCGGACTTCCATCTTATCATCCGTGACTCCCAGAAGCTGTGCCAGTACCTTGCATTGGCTCGGCGCAGGCTCTCAAATCAGTGGAGTTCGGATGCACAAAGGCAGCGAAGCCAGTTGAACCCAGGGGCGTATGACACGGTCTTGATCCACCTGCAATGCATGGGCAACCCGACGATTGCAGGTAATGTCAAGGCTGGCCTCCTGTCGCACTTGTCCGTTTCAACACAGGCTTCCTCAGGCGCCCGCTCTTCACGGCGTCTGCGCTTCATGATGTCCTCAAAGCTCCCGCGTCGTGGGGACGAGACACAAAAACCATGTAGTAGTATGTAGGTCGCCACACAAGAAAGACAGGGACGTGCTCCCAGTCCGAGCCCCCAAGCCTCGCCATGCTCATCCTAGCAAGCTCCAAGTCACAGCAAGACCAAGCCGACGGCATGGCTTCCCGAAAAGCTGGTACTCCTCGCATGCGCTTCACGGCGGTCCCGCCTCTGCTCTTGCGCTGGGGCTGTGACTGGACAGCAGCAGCATCGTCTCCCCAGCCACTCTGACCTGGTCGCATACGGCCATCAGGCTCGAAGAGTTGCAGCCTCCCGGAATCGGACCTGCTCCTCCAGCAACACAAGCCTGGCATCCGTGCAACAAAAGTCGCAAGCGCAAGATGGAGCAAGTCGCAACACGACCCTGAAGCGAGCTGGACAAACTCCGCATCTCCAGGACGTGCAGCTTCCAGGCGATGGATGATGTCCAGTGCCAGACGCAAGAATGGAAAGACCTGACAGGCACGGTTCGTCAGCTGAGGCCCCAAGGAAAGGCAAAGCATCATAGTGTTTGGGTCCCACCGGCACACGCTCAGGATTCAATCCGTCCAGGGGTGTCTTGTCCTCGTTGGATTCCAACTCCTGCATGTTGCCCGCTCGACCGAGACACAGCCCGTGCGTTCAGGGTTCAGGGTTGCGCATCCTTGGCCAGGACGGCATAGCACCAGCTGCAAGCTTGGATCACTGCCTCGTGCATCGAATGTGAAAAAAGCCATGCAAGCTGATGGCATTGCCGTACAGACCAAGCCCAGCACAAGCGGCACTCCACGAATTGCTGTTGCGTTGTGCTCTGGGGAAGGGAGAAGCATGCCAATGATGTCCTGTCCCGACAACGGTCAAGGCAGAAAGATTCGATCCCGAAGCACCAGCTGTTTGACATGCAGCAAGACATGTCCGGAGTCAACACGTCGAAACTGCTTACAAAGCCACCATCCTCAAAGTGGCCGTTCACGAGAAGGTCGTTCACAGAGTTGCGAGGAATGCTGCGGAAAACGAACACTGGAAGCACCTTCAGCACGAACTCCTAGCGGGACACTCGACATGAGCCGGCCCTTTCAGCATCGCTGCGGCTACACGGCTACATATTTGTCCGTCCTCTTTGCCGTCACCCTTGCTGGTTGCACGATCGAAGCCACAAAACACTCTGCCTTCCGAATGCTAGCAGAGCAGCTCTCTGACACACCAATCTGCTTTTCCAACAGCATCCAAGACCTTGCGAGATCTTGGCAAACCCGGGCTTGAAGGCGACTTTGACCACATCTCCTGGATGGTTCACCAGCAGTGAGGGGTCTGCTACTCGTGTCCACCCGAAAGCGCGCTGCCTGCTGTTCGTGTGCTGAGTGGCACCCGCGCTTTGTCTTCAATCCTCGGTCGTTCGGTTTGTCACTGAACCAGTCAGTCAACCAATCAATCCGCCCGCCAGCCAGCACCAAGCAGTATGACACGCCACACCGTTCGATGTCAGAGTGGTACTCAATCGATACGCGGGTGGAGGGCAGGTGCAAGCCGACGTCGGGAAACAGCCTGGCACACTGAGCCGACGGCTCCACTGACATTGCTTCATCCGGACCTGCGGCCACTGTCTGGACAGCAGACCATAGCAGACCAGTGGGCAGACACGTAGCACTCTGGTTTTTGAAACTGGCGTAATCCACAAGGAGGTGATGCAAGTCAGGCGCACCTGTCGGGGTGAGCAAGATGTCAGTGTTCATGGCCTTTTTGCTCTCGCATAGGACCTAGGTGCGGTAGCAGCTTGCCGCCAAGTAGAATGCAGCTGGCTCGAAGGTGACACGGCAGGTGCCACCACCCCCTACATCCTAAACACCAAACCAAAGCCTGACCTCCGGTCATGCCGTGGTCAATCCCCGTCCGCTGAAATTAATTCCCCACACAGGCCAAAAAATCCCCGAACAACGTGCGCAACTCCTAGCCAAGTCTCACACAGCACATGCATAGGGATATCATCTAAACCCTCATCCACAACCCTAAACCCCAACCCCTAAGTTACCAGGTCCGACACCCGAAGCCCTGACCCCATGGTTCAACTTGTTAACAGATGCCGCTTGATCATGTCTGGACCATGTACAGTTGATCCGGCATGCTAGGTATCGTCCGACCGGTTCATTCAGTAACTTCCCCGTTGATGTCCTGCCGGGTGCCAAGATTGGGTTGTGCCGTTATCGAGTCTTGCGCATGCATACATCGAGGTAAAGACAAAGGCACACGCAATACACACACACACACACACACGTCGCATATCTCCGCCTGTATCTACATTTATAGGTGCCCAATGACATAACCTAGCGCTTGCAACATGCACTGTGGCTGGCCACAGAGAGCTATCAGCCGAGGCTTCTGCCTTGACACTGATCGCGCCGGGGACCTCGAAGGGCAAGGCATGGAAGATCTTCGTCCCATCGTCCAAGGTCTTGTCCTGGGGCAGAGGGCTGCTCAAACCTCTGGCAGCATGGAAAGCCCGAGGGCCAAAGAGGGCCCAGCGAGGGTTGTGTCCAAAGGAAAGCGCTTCACCAATTCGGTGACCTGAAGAGGCAGCTGCAGCTCAAAGATGTTGCTTGCAAGCTTGGGTCTCCCGGCGAGTCCAGTCGACAGATAGGTCAGGATCATTCCTGGCATGGAACTTGGCCAAGGCCCCTTTGCGACTCGCAGCAATTCTCAGCCGGCGCCACTTGATGCGAAGGTTGCCACTGAATCGGCTGCATCCGGCTGCCCTTTCGTTCGGAGCAGCTTCGCCGAACTTGGCACACGGCACGAGATGTTTCAATTCTTCGTCTCCCAAGTCAAAAGCACTCCAAGTCCGAGCAACTCCAGGAGCCGTCGCAGGGAGTCTGAGAGCAGCGAGTTCTGCTCCGTGGTGGGCAAATGACGCAGCCTCGGCGATTCGTCCACCGAGGAACCGCGGTGGGGTTTTGTGAGACTTCCGCAGCCGCTTCTGTCCGATTTCTCCGAGCGACGCATGCGCTTGCGTGCAAGTCGTCTCGCCACAGCGCTCTATATGGCTGAATCTTGCACTACCTATAAGGCCATAACGACATATACTTTAACAAGCTTCATGTTCTGACAGACTCAAACACATGTGCAAGCCCTGGCCCTAGCGACGATGTGCTGCATGTAAACCATCATGTCGAATCTGTACCTTTCCAAACCTCCAAGAAACCTCAGTCAGAGCCTAAACCCCATGAGTCGGATTGATTCTAGAAGTAGCGGCTCTAAAGATCCCGGTTTAACCTCCCGCCTGCCTCGGTTGAGCAGAGTACGTCTTACTCATGCTCACTTGGAAGGCGGCGTTTGTGAATCAGGCCGCGCCAAGTCTTCCGACTTGCGCCGGCAGAGTGAAAAGACGCACTATGTCGGGCAGTAGAATCAGTTTAACAGGCTGACCTTGGTGCGACGAAAAAGATTGGGCTCGACTGCAGTTTCGCCTGCACCTTGGGCAGCCGGTTTTGCTGCGTTTCGCATCGGCAGATCGGCCAACGCGCGCTGAGGGTGTTGGCCCTCGCATCGCAGTAGTGCCCACAAAGACATAAGAGGTCCAAGCGGTTGGCTTGTACTGGACAGGTTTGTGGGAACCGAACACTGCGGTGCATAAAGTTAATTACACATACATGTGCTTCTAAGCTGTGGGAATCGTCCAGCTCGATTGGTTGGTCGCCCGATTGTAGTAGTACGTCCTGAGCAGGAGTTGGAATGCAGTCAAAGCAAGCCTGACACCAGAGGCAAAGCTAGAGCTAAGAACAATACTTGCCACTCGTCGCATCCACGCCCTGCTCCCATCCAGCAGGAAGCGCGGGCTGTGCCTGAGCACGAGTTCGCGGCAACAATGCACAGCAGGATGCACCTTCTCAAGCTCCCGACCTCTGCTGGTTGAGCTTGGCCGGCTTCTGCAGGAGCAGTCGCGCCATCCGCCTGCGCCTCCGCAGGAGCCGCTTCGGCTGGCGCAGTCGCCGGCTCGGACGCTGGTGCAGTCGCTTCCGCCGCGGCAGCAGCGGCGGGTGCAGTCTGAGGTATGCTGGTTTGCGCTGGCGCCGTGGCCAAAGCCGCTGCCGGCGCAGTCTGTGCCACCAGCATTGGGGGCAGCTGGGTCGGACCGGCGGCAGGAGGTATCCAGCTCGTCTCGCCCGTCGATCTGTTGGCATAGTACACCTGCGACAGTATGCGAATCCAAGCGAAATCTCAAACGGGTGTCGGACACCACGTCGCAGGCAAGTCTGCCTGCCTTGCCACTTGCCGGGTCTACTGCTTGCTCCCAGCCCGGAGGCAAGGCAGGCACTGCTGTGGGCGCTGACAACTGTACACCTCGGCAATATCAAAACCACCAGTGCAAGGCATGGAAATTCGTGCGTGACCGAATCAAAGCATACACAGAGAAGCCTGCCTGCCTACTGTCTAAGCTCTCGGCCGGCAGTGCCGGGCAGGACAGCGTAGCCTTCCAAGCAAGAGGTTACCGTTTTTGCACCCTGTGACTTTGAGCACGCCTGCTTTCCACATGCTTTCGAGAATTCGTCGGCCTGCTGGCAATGCCCCCTGCAGGGCACCTGGCATCCCTCCTGACAGCGCCACGCCGCCCATGGCCATGCCGGGCATTGCTCCTCGGACACCGCAACAGTGCCGGGAATGTGTAAGAATCGCCTGGCAGTCCTTGAACAGCACCGTACCCTGCTGGCATCGCTGCGGTCTTCAAGAGCAGAGCAGATATTGAAGTTGCATCTAGATCTCTTGACGTCTCTTTGTGTTTGCGCAATGAATCTGCACAAGACTCAGCGCCTGCAGACCAGCAACACCGTAAGGAGAGTAGCGCTGCCTGACGTATAGGCATGGTCATGGAAGGACCCATTTCCCGAACCCAGCACGGCCGAGGAGCAAGTCCACATACCCGTTTGGAATGGCACCATAGCCACCTGACAATCGTGCACGGATGGGTCATGAACGCCCCCCTGCTGGCGGCCTCGCCTGCCAAGCCAGCCAGGCCCCCTGTCAGAGCAAGCTAAGACAGCAAAAGGCTAATCATTTGGAAACACATCTACCTCGAGTCGAAGGCTGTGAATGCCTAAACATCAGTCGTGATGTCACCAGCGTTCTTTTAACGTGCCTCTTTGCAATTGCTACCACATACAACCAGTCCCTACCGCGCCTGGTGCAGCAGGCAACGCGGCTGCTATCACACCCTCCAAAATGCCTTGCAGCATTGATCAGCATTGGCAAAGGAACAATGCCGCTGGGCTCTTGATCCACAGCAAAGCAAAGCTGTGCAGTCTAGGCCAGCCAAGACACTCCAGGTAGTTGCCTTCGGCTTGTTCGTCCGAGCCTACCGCTCACTTTCGTTGCATTTAAAGGAAGCAACACTGGTGTCGGTAGTAGTGAACCCCAGCGGAAAAGGCGGCCCTTGCGAGGTCCAGCCTCGATCTCTGACTCGAAAGTCACCCGGAGCCCCTCCCGGCACTTGGACTCGTCGGAACCTACCTCAAGGTACGGCGGCAGCAAAGACGCAAAGGCTCTTGCAGTGCCCTCTTGCAGGAAAGGAGCCAGGTTGCGCGCCGGCGCAAAGATGTCTCCCTGACCAGGCCTAAGGCAGCAGAGTTCTGTGGCAAAGGAGGCTCTGAGACGACAGCAAAAATGCAACTGCAGCAGGTAGTCAAGGTAATCCCGTAGAAAAGCACCGAACTTGAAGGTAGACAGATAGAGAGACGGAGAGACCGAGAGACAGAGACGCAGAGAGACAGAGAGACAGACTGAGAGGCAGACAAAGAGGCAGAGAGGCAGAGAGGTAGAGAGGTAGACAGACAAAAAAACAGAGTCTCCTAAACCCAGCGACGACTAAGGCTGAAGGCTACACACACGAGACTGGAAGCTAATGACCGCCACTCACGCTTATCCTTCCCGTTACGTAAGGCTTCTGGACAGGAGTCCCCTGTTTTGCCAGTCTCCACCGAACAACCAGCCCGATGCAGCGGCTAGAGGTCATACCGTTGAGTGTCGACGGCTCAACAAACACGCACAAGTAGCTTCTTCAACGCATCCTGTCTAGGGGAAGAAGATGGAACAAGCACCATGCCTCCCCAGTTTCCAAAGATGCTACCAGCTGATGCCGACAAGCTTGAGAAGGAGGCCTCGTAGCTTTACACGGGACGTTGGCAATCAGATCCCTGGAGTTCGGATCCCGAGTGCCACTGGTAGCATCTAAATGGACTCTCCTGGAAGTGCCTGCTCACACCCTGGGCCGCCAGAAGTAGAGAGAGAGAGAGCGAGAGCTGCAAGAAGAAACATGAAAATCTTGCGAGCGCAGTTCTTTCGGGCGCGGTTTGGCTATCTCAGCAAACTCTCAAGGAAACCGCATTCGACTCTGGCGTGCACTGTTGTGAGTTTGAGGCCGAGGTCGTGGCTCATCAGGTGTAATAAAACCAAAACCCTTGTCAGCGAAGAACTTCTTCAAGGTCCCCAGCCTCGGACTCGAGCTTGGGCCGGCTACAACAAGAAATCATTTATCTTTGGCAGAGTGGTGGGTTGAGGCGCGGGCGGCATTGCAGGAGGCCGCGCACCCCCCACCGTGCCCGCCCGAGAGCCAACTGCCGCAGGCATTGTGACATGTCATGAGACTCCTTCGACTTAAACAAGAAGCCAGCTACAACGGCTCGCGGAGCATGGGGAGCATCCACGGATGCACAACACAACGTGCGCTTGCACTGAGCCGGCAGGCAATGACAGCAGCGAGTCAGGCACCTGTTCCAACCTGGGCCATCGAGCAACAGGGAACCAAAGCAGTGCGTGGCGTTGCAGCACAGGCAAAGCTCGGTACGCCCTCGGGCCCTGGCGCGGCAAGCATTCGCTTCGCCGTGCTGGAAGCACTGGCGAGTGCACCCTGTGAGAGGTGCATGACCTGGAGCATGTTCTTTCGCGTTGCTGGGAAGAAGCTCGTTGGCTGCCGCGTCAGATGCGTGCTGGGACCCCGAACACTAACCCTGCCCACAGTTGTTTGCAGAGGGGGTCTCCGAAGAACTTCCATGCCTTCGGCTTTGAGGCTAAAGCCTTACTAGGGTGCGGCTTCGAAACTAGTCCCTGAACTGTAAACAGCCCTGTAAGCATCCTACTTGTCCCAGTGCTGAGTACTTTGCCAGTGGCACGAGGACCTTCGGGGAGCAAGCGCTGCGGACCAGCCGCAGGTCACCCACCTGTCACAATCACACATGCACACATCGACCACACCTGCAGCCGCTGCCTGTTCTCCACCTTCCTCTGCTTGAGGAGCTTCCTGTCCAACACTCGCAACTGGGCAAGGGAGTTCCGGAGGTTGTTGCTTCGGTTCCACACGGCCTGCTCGGCTGCCCTGACGAGCCATCGAAGGGTTTGTGCCTGCGGACTTCTCTGCGACGGAGGACTGACAATTTGCCCGTCTCGGCGTCCAGGCTCCCGGCGACCCAGCGCTGTCCGGGAAGGCCGCCCGACTCGAGAACTTGAACCACCTACGGCTCGTCGTCGTTTTCAGGCAGGGCTGTAGTAAGAACGCCAAGCTTCCAAAGCTGGGCTGCTCGCAACTACCCAGAACTCGTCAGCGATTCCCATCGCAGTGGTGAGTTCTGTTAAGACGCGGTCGTTCAGGATGAGATCCAACCTCAACACTTTGACAGGTCGCTTTTGCACAGCCACCGCTCCTCATCCAGCTTAGCCATACACACGAAATCTCGAACTGAGGCTTTCCAATCCTCAGTTCGAAATGTCGTGCTGAGGGCAGGGTCCGTCAAGGCTTTCTTGGGCAAGGACTAGGGCACGACGCAGAAATCGGGGGCGGAGTAGACGCAGCAGGTAGACCAACACCTGGCTCAGCAAGCAGCGACGAAAGAGGAGAGAGTGCGAGAGACAGAGAGAGTGCGAGAGACAGAGAGAGAGAGAGAG